GTTCCTCCACACTCCGCTTGCCATCCCGAAGTCCCTCATGGTGACCAGAGAAAATCGCCGAAGAGCCTTCCAGCGTTCCCCATTGGCAAACACCACACCTGTGGAGGCAGGCATGGGTTGCAGAGGAAGTTGGAAGGAGATTCTGGGTCCCTCTCCACCCCTATTCTGCCTTACCAGATTCACCTTCTGCAAATCCCCATCCCCCATTCCCTTCCCCCCCTTTCACCTGGTGCCTCTCAGGCCCTTACCATATCCTTGAAAGACTTGATCAATAACGGCGATTTTCCCCCGGCCAGAAAAGGCCTCAGCTTGGTCCACCAGGGCCTCCCGGATTGCCTCTGCCCCACATAGTATGACCACAGGCCTTGGCCCCAGGTACACCGTGAAGACATCCCCATATTTGTCTCGGAGCTGCCAAGCATACCCACACCAACAGTGTTAAACCATTAAAACACATATAGACTGGTAATTAGCTGGCACCCCAAAACCCTCCATCTGAATCTGCTTTTCTCCTTCCCAGGATCCAGCAACTAAAAGAGTAACCCACCTAGCCAGAGACTGCGTGATTGATTGGTGCCCCGAGTAGTATAGGTGGTTAAATATTTCTAATATCACCCCTGCCCATATCCTTAAGTCTGGCCAGATTTCTCTGGCATCACAACTAAAGGATCATCCTTTTGTGGCCCACTTCAACCTGCTGTCTGCATGCTGACAATTTCCCCAGAGAAATACCCTGAACAGCCAGCCCTGTGATAGACAGGAAGAGAAAGGGATGGCCCTCTGGTGGCGATCATGAGATCTGAAAAAATCTTAACATCAGTACAGCCACTTTGGAAACTGCTCAGTGGTATTTACTGAAGCTAAAAGTTCACATGTCTACTCAGTGACTCATCAACTTAATTTCAGGCACATGTCCCAAAAATGTGTGCTTGTGTTCACCAAAACACAGGACAAGGAGACTGAAACCTTATTAATACAATGCTCATCACCATCAATATGTGTCCATACCATGGAATGCTAAACAGCAGTGAAAAGAACATACTACTGCAATACCCAACAACATGAATAAAGCACACAGGCATAATGCTGAGCAAAATTAGACACAAAAGAGTCCATACATGATAATTCTATTTACATGAAGTTGAAAAACAGATAACATGAACCTATGGTCTCAGGATAGTGGGAAGGTAGTGACTGGACGGGGGTGCGAGTCGGGTATCTGGGGATGGGCCATGTTGTTACTGATCTGCACGTATATTGTAGAAAATTCACTGAGCTGAGCACTTATGATTTGTGCACTTCTTAGGATGATGTTAAACAGTAAAAAGTTGACTTACAGCCCTAGCGGTTTGGCTCAGTGGATAGAGCGTCGGCTTGCGGACTGAGGGGTCCCAGGTTCAATTCTGGTCAAGGGTACATGCCCGAGTTGTGAGCTTGATCTCCAGTAGGGAGCATGTAGGAGGCAGCCAATCAATGACTCTCTCATCATTGATGTTTCTATCTCTCTCCCCCTCTCCCTTCCTCTCTGAAATCAATAAAAATATATTTTTTTAAAAGTTTACTTACAATCATAAAAGTTTAAGTTTTTGTGATTTTTATGAAAAATCTCTCACACTGATCTCTGCAAAACCTCCTCACTGGTCTCTCTACTCCCACTCTTTTCCCATCTACAATCATTTCATCATCTATCCCTCCCTACCCTGACATCAGAGTAATCCTATTAAAATGAAAATTAATGTCACTGACCTGCTCCAAATCCTCCAGTGCTCCCACCTCACTGAGAATAAAAGCTGAAGTCTCCACCATGGTCCACATAGCCCTGCATGAAGTGGCCTCATCACCCCTCTGCATCTCCCCCCAATGGTCCCTTTGCTCACTCAGATCCCACCCCCCATGTTGTCCCTCAAGATTCTGAACTTGCTCATTTTTCAGGGCTGTTGCACCTGCCTCTCTCTGATGCCTTCTTCCTGCATCTTTCTGTGTCTCTGCCCAGAAACAAAGCAGGACTGAGCCTTTTCCTCACAACTCAATCTAAAGTAGTTTCAATCATAGCTCTTGTCTACCTCATTTGTTTATTTCCTTACTTGTATGCTCTGTCCAATGCGACACTTAGAATATTCCCCAGCAAACAGAAGGTGCCCAGTACTAGTATTTAATGAGTGAATAAATGAATGAGTGGATCAAAGGAACTGCCATTTAATGAGCATTTACTATACACCAGACTCTATGCAATACCCCATCTCATCCTCACAGTTTTAAGAGGGACACATTTTTATTGTCACTAGCGTTTTACAGAAGAGGAAACTGAGACTCAGTGAGTAACAGTTGAATCTGGAACACGAGTTCAAACCTGAGTCCAGAAGGATTTGGGCACATGTAGGGGAATGGGGGAGGAGCAGTGCCACCTTCACCACCCCGTCCCCCCGTCCCATCATGGCACCCAGTAGCTTATTCTCTCTCTCTCTCTCTCTCTCTCTCTCTCTTTCTCTTTCTCTCTCCTCACGAGGATCATGAACCCCTAGAAGAGCTTTGGGGATCTGAAACTCTCAAATTTTTGCAATGATGTGTGTGGATATTGGGAGGGAGCATAAAGGTTTAATGAGATTCTCAAAAAATTTAATGATTCCCAAACTGTTAGGCAGTTTCAGTCTCTGAGGGCACCGGAGAGGAGAACCCTCCCTGCTGGACCCAAGCTTCCCCTCTGAGAAGTCCCAGCTGTGTGGCGGTGGACAGTGCCTTCCCCAAGCTAAGCCTCACTGTCTTTCTCTCTAAGATGGGGTTAGCACCTCACCTAGCCCACAGGATTGTTGTAAGTGAGACCTGGTGAGTTCCCACAACAATATAGGCAAATCCCAGCCACTTAATTCTGAATGAAGAAACTAAGTCCAGGAATTTATAGGAAAGCACGGTACCCTGTGGTACATTGAAGACCATGAGAACCAAATCACACATACTTGGGGCTTCCACATATGTGATAAAACTCTCTCTGTTAAAAGCAAAGGTAATGACAAGCCCAAGATTCAGGAGTGTGATCACCGTGCTGGGGGGGCTGGGAGCAGGGGGGCGCAGCGGGAGTCCGGACTGTAAGACAGGAGGCAGCTGGAAGTTACTGTCAGTGCTCCTGTTCTCCCATTGAGAGGTGAGTTCATGGGGTAGATCACATTACTAATAACTAAATAGGTGACAAGACACAAAGTCATGCCTGGGAAACAGTGATGCAGAGCCAGTAAATCCTCCATAGTGTCAGCTGTTATGGATAGCACATTAATGTGCATTATTGGTAAGCCCTCTGTACCTGGCCTCCTGCCCCCTTCCTCCTCCCATTGTCCTGGTGCTGATATGAACCAGTCTTTCCTTTTCTTTTGTTGACAGAGGAGAAGCCTATTTGACTAATGACACTGCCCCCTTTTCTCTCTCATCCGGGGGGCAGGCACCCAGGAACTTGACAGAAGGTGGCAAAAGATGTGAAATGCTACACCCAGGCTCATATCCAGACACCTCTTCATCCCCATTTGCTCACTCCAGAGATAGTGGCACACAATTCCCAGTGAACAAGACATCTCTGACTATCTGACCACCATCTACTGTGCTTCAGCTGCCTGCCTCTTACTCACCAACCTTCACACCCCCCACCCCTGAGCCTGGAAGGATGCCTTACTCCTTCTAGTAAATGATCCCCAAATACGGAGACGGGAAGTCACTCTCCAACCCATCCATCTGCATCTCACCCTCAGGAAGGATTTGAGTAGGCCTCGTCTGTCCATCTGCAGAAGGCTCCCGAAGAAGGGCAGAGGACGGGGGCCTGGCGGAAGGTGGCCATGTGCCTTTGGGTGGCCCCTGGCCAGGAGAATCAAGAGTCCTGTGATGAGAGCAAGGAGGAGGAGGACACTGAGCTCCATGGTCCCAATCTGACTGCCTTCCAGCCCACTGCAATCTCAACTTGGACCTTTTATCCTGATCCTGCCTCCTCACCCAGTTATGTAACTTTATCTATTCCCCGCCTCCCCTCTGACATTGTCCAGGAGTGTGAACTTGAAAGAGAGGTTCTAAAGGGCCCATACTTCCTGTCCAGTAAGTTGCTTTCTCCCTACCTCAGCAACCGCTCCCCAGGTGTTGGCAGAGACACTGTTGTGGTTACAAAGGTCAGCATGAGTGTTCGTGCGAGCTCACGTGTTTATTTTGGGGGTACGGGTGAGTATGCACTGTCTACTTGTTGTGGCCTTATTTGTGTGTTTATGCTTGCATGTCTGCCCATGCCTGCTTGCATCCGCGTGCACTTGTATGATTTTTTATGTGAAGGGGTATTTGTATTGATGTGCATGTGCAAGTGTGTTTTGTGTATGAGTCTGCATGTGCTTATGTACATATTTTGCATGTGCACAGGCTTACATGTATTGCTATGGGTTCATATGTGAAGGGGTGTTTGCTTTTGCATGGTGCTGGTGGTGTGTGTCCTTGTGTGTGCTTGTGTGTTTGTGCACCTTCTCATCCCTGTGTTTGTAGGGCCTTTGGGTGCTCAGTGTCTATCTCCAGACCTCTTCCTTCACCCTCCTTTCTGTAGCAGCTACAGATGGGAATGACGAGAGAGACAGAGGAGTGGGGAGGGACACAGAACTGGTGAGACTCTGAGGTGGAGGGGTAGGTGGAAAAAGACAGAGGGACTGAGACCTGGCTGGGGGGACATTTGGGTCCCTGGATCTCTGATTGCTCTGACCAGTGCCAGCAGTTCTCTTTCTTTCTCTAGCTCTGTCTTCACTCGGAGGATGTTTCTAGAATCCTCTCTGATAATCTGTGTGTGTATGTGCCTATCTCATTATCTCTGTCTCAGTGTCTCTGTTTCCCCCTTTAGACCCTGAACTCCAGAAGTGCAGAGACCTGGTCCAGTTTGATTGATGTCCACTGGTCTGGTGTCCGTCGCTATCATCACTCTGAGCCTCTGGCAGGCTCGGTCCCTACTTGCCAGGTATGTGATTGAGTATGTCCATGTGCACCTGCCACGGTCTCAGCCTGGCTTTCCACCGCTCTCTGTGTCTTTCCTTTAAAAGGAGATGGGGGGAGATGAGGCAGCATCTTTCCTGCAATGTTAGGCAAACCCCTTGCTAGACCCAGGGACCTGACCCTGGCAGTTGAATCATACACCTCTGACCCAGGAGTAGGGGACAGACAATCCTGACCTCTTGAATTCAGGGGTGGAACCTGCACTTTCTTAACCTTGGAAAATTGCCACCATGGATGTTCCTGACTCAGGTCCTGGCCTCTATGGTGCTGTGTGATTTGGCACTATGCTTAGGTCCACGTTCCAGACCCAGGAATCACTGATGGGTATGAAGAGCTTTACACTTTGAGATGGGTATTTTTTCATCCCACTTTATAGATCAGGAGAGTGAAGCACAGAGAAGTTGAGAGTTTTACCCAAAGTCACACGGTGGGTTAGAGCTGCATTATCCAATATGATGGCTGTTGGGATATACTAGTACTACCCCTGGCCTCTCCTGTTTGCACATGTTTTCTGAAATATCCTATCTAATAAAGAGGGAATATGCAAATTGACCATCACACTGTAACAAGATGGCAGCCCCCACAGCAGAGGCAGGAATCCCATAACACAAGATGGTGGCGCCCAAATCACACCGAAGAGAAGGTGCCTGTGTGAACTGTGAAATGCATGCCCTTAACGAAATTCAAGAGGTATTCACATTGCATGAAATAAAATGTTCACATATCAAACTTCCAGACTATCCTTCATTAATGAATACAAATACATGTGATGAATCATATGAGCGACAACAGGCACAGGTTTTGATAAATTCTCTGAATGATGAACAGTTGGCAGCCTTTCAGACTATAACTTCAGCCACCGAAGATAAAACTGTACACCCCAAATGCTTTTTCTTGGATGGTCCAGGTGGTAGCGGAAAAATATATCTTTATAAAGTTTTAATACATTATATTAGAGGTCATGGTGGTACTGTTTTACCCACAGCATCAACAGGAATTGCTGCAAATTTACTTCCCGGTGGAAGAACCTTTCATTCCCAATATAAATTACCAATTCCATTAAATGAAACTTCAATTTCTAGACTCAATATAAAGAGTGAAGTTGCTAAAACCACTAAAAAGGCCAAACTTCTCATTATTGATGAATGCACCATGGCATCCAGTCATGCTATAAACACCATAGACAGATTACTGAGAGAAATTATATTATATTATACTGAGAATGTTGTATTTGGTGGGAAAGTTCTCCTTCTTGGAGAGGATTTTCGACAATGTCTCAGTGTTGTGCCACATGCTATGTGATCGGCCATAGTGCAAACGAATTTAAAGTACTGTAATGTTTGGGGATGTTTCAGAAAGTTGTCTCTTAAAAAAAATATGAGATCAGAGGATTCTGCTTATAGTGAATGGTTAGAAAAACTTGGAGATGGCAACCTTGATAGCAGTTTTCATTTAGGAATGGATATTATTGAAATCCCCTGTGAAATGATTTGTAATGGATCTATTATTGATGCTACCTTTGGAAATAGTATATCTATAGATAATATTAATAATATATCTAAATGTGCAATTCTTTGTCCAAAAAATGAGCATGTTCAAAAATTAAATGAAGAAATTTAGGATATACTCGATGGAGATTTTCACACATATTTGAGTGATGATTCCATTGACTCAACAGTTGATGCTGAAAAGGAAAATTTTCCCATCGAATTTCTTAATAGTATTACTCCTTCGGGAATGCCATGTCATAAAATTAAATTTGAAAGTGGGTGCAATCATCATGCTATTGAGAAATCTTAATAGTAAATTGGGTCTTTGTAATGGTATTTGATTTATTATCAAAAGATTACGACCTAACATTATCGAAGCTGAAGTATTAACAGGATCTGCAGAAGGAGATTGTTCTGATTCCAAGAATTGATTTGTTCCCTTCTGACACTGGCCTCCCATTTAAATTGATTCAAAGACAGTTTCCTGTGATGCCAGCATTTGTGATGACTATTGATAAATCACAAGGACAAACTCTAGACAGAGTAGGAATATTCCTACCTGAACCCGTTTTCACACATGGTCAGTTATACGTTGCTTTCTCTCGAGTTCGAAGAGTGTGTGACGTTAAAGTTAAAGTTGTAAATACTTCATCACAAGGGAAATTAGCCAAGCACTCTGAAAGTGTTTTCACTCTTAATGTGGTATACAGGGAGATATTAGAATAAGTTTAATCACTTTATCAGCCAGCCCCCACCTGTGCACCAGGCCTCTATCCTATATAGTAAAAGGGTAATATGCAAACTGACCCTAACAGCAGAAAGACTGGGAATGACTGGTCACTATGACACACACTGACCACCAGGGGGCAGACCCTCAATGCAGGAGCTGCCCTCTGGTGGTCAGTCGCTCCCACATGAGGGAGCTCTGCTCAGCCACAAGCCAGGCTGATGGCTGCCAGTACAGTGGTGGTGGTGGGAGCCTCTCCTGCCTCCACAGCAGCGCTAAGGATGTCTGACTGCAGCTTAGGTCTGCTCCCCGCTGGCAAGTGGACACCCCCCGAGGGCTGCCGGGCTTCCAGAGGGATGTCTGACTGCCATCTTAGGCCCAATCTCCCGGGGAGCAGGCCTAAGCCAGCAGGTGGTCATCCCCCGAGGGGTCCCAGACTGTGAGAGGGCACAGGCCGGGCTGAGGGACCACCCCCCCCCCGAGTGCACAAATTTTTGTGCACTGGGCCTCTAGTTTATTAATAAATTCATATATTATTTTTATATACATTTTACTCATTTCCTTTCATCTCTGACACTTCTATTATAGAGAAAGGGCAAATAGCAATATTAAAATATTTCCTCTAATTAATTCCCTTTTACTGTGCATGAATTTTGTGCACCGGGCCACTAGTATTGTTATAAGTTTCTGTTTTTTTTCCATAGCTTGAAGCAAACAGCCTGCACCTGCAGAAGATAAAATATACTCCCCAGCTGACTCAGGCACACCCCTCTGCCTGAGTTGTGTGCTCACCAGACATCCTGCTATCTTCCAAAGAAGTCCTGTTATTCAGGAAGCTACCCCAGCTGGCTGGTGCAATCCTGACCCTGTCCCTATATAAGAGAACTTAAATGCTCCCTAGGGGCTGACACCCACACACTGGTCTCAGCCTGCTGTGAGAGATGTAATAAAATGTCTTAAACTCTCACAACATCTCTTGGCCTGGCTCCTGTTGACACAGATCTAACAATAACCACTTGCCACATGTAGCTATTAAGCACTTAAAATGTAGCTAGTATTAATACTAGCCATGTTGGTACTCTATTGATACTCAGTATAGTAATTGGAAAACTTCTAAGTACATTTGGGAAAACATGAGTATGTGAATCTACTTTTTCAATTGTAATCCTCATGAAATCTAAATACAGATCAAATATTTCTGGAGAAAATTTAGGGTCCCAATTAAGATGCACAATACATGTGAAATACACACCAGATTACAAAGACAATGAAAAAAAAAGTTATAATGAGAAGATGAGGCAGAAACAGGAAGAAACACAGAGACAAAGAGAAGCCAAGAAATAGACAAGGAGTATAATACAGAGATGAAGGCAGAGAAAGGGAAGGAGAGATAGAGAGAGGTAGAGAAACAAAGATGCAGGAGGGGAGGGGTGCTGCAGGGGCACAGGTGGGGCTGCATCTGTGATGGAGCTTGTTTTTATATGTGCAAGTACATTTGAATTATTTTTTAACAGTTTTACTGAGGTATAACTGACATACAATAAACTGCAAATATGTAAAGTGTACAATTTAAACAATTGTGGCATATTGCACGCCAGTGAACCATCATCACAAATAAGATAAACATACCCAACACCCCAAAAGCTTCCCTGTGCCCTTTTGTAATTCCTCCCTTCCCTATTTT